TGCTGCTGTCGAAGCCGAGAAGTGACAAGAGAACGCAGCAACTTACTGCTGCTGTTGGGCGGTCCGAGAAGCGACAGGGGGGGTTCGGGCAGCCCTTGCAGCTGCTGTTTGAGTAAATACAGCGGAACAAAACAGCGCTTGCAGGTTGTTGTTGGATGTTGCTGCTGCCTGGACGAGAAACACGCAGGTAAGACCTGCTGCGGCTGCTGTTGGTCCGATCTGTTTGCTGCTGCCGTTTACCGCGAAAAAGAAGGAGAATCAGAGCCCTTTCGGCCCGCTGTTGCTGCTTGGCGACCGAAACGTAGAGTAACCACAGCAACTTGCTGTTTGGTTGCGACAAGGGAGAACAACACAGCAGGTGCTGTTTTTGTGTGCGGCAAAGAAGAGGAAACACAGCAGGCGCTGTTTTGTGTCCGGCGAAGTGCGCTGGGCAGCACAGTCGACGGCCTCCCTTCTCCCCCTTTGATTTCCCCCTTCCTTCTTCCTTACCTGCCTTCTTTCTTTCAGCCTTCCCCCTTGAAATCTAAACTCCCCCTCTCTAAAAGATACCGAACTGGTAGGTAATTCCTCAAAGTCCAAAGGGTAATTCTCCTAGGGTGAGAAAGTCTAGGGGTTAGGATTAAAACGTAATGGGTAATACCCCCCCCCCTTTCCAAGAAAAAAACCAAATCAAATAAATTTTCAAATCCAAAGATTATCCCAAAGAAATCTCTTTTTCTTTAAATTAAAAGTACAATATATAAACAARGGGAGAGTCTAAACTCTCAATCCTGACTCTACTCCCAAGTCTTTCCTGCATCACTCCCACATAGGAAGCTAAAAGTGCCTTTTAGCAAAAAGAATAGCCAATAATATACCCCTTCTTTTAAATAGCAGGTAAAGACCCAAAAATAACATGCTCAAGTCCCTATTATAAACATAAACGAGAATATAATACCTCAATGACGGGAAGAAAGCTTCGGTTGTGAACAGAAAGAGAATGGGGAGAAATTTCGGGTGTTACAAGAAAGTTGGGAGGGAAAACCCTAGAAATAAGAAGATGAAATTAAAGCTTACTTGTCCATGGTTTCTAGTGATTTTGGTATCAAAATGTCAACATTTATCTTGTCTTTCTTATAATATCAAAAGCACCATGAAAAACTGGTTGGAAATCGACAAAAAAATGGCTGAAAAAATCAAGAAGAAAGTAAAACAAAACTGGGTCAAGTTCACCTTTTTGAGCATGTCCGTGTGATTTTGGTCATATGTTCTATTACTATGGATTGATTTTCATTATTAGTTGGGCTTAAACAGAACATAATATGAGATTCGTTATTTAAATGATGATGAATTAAAAAACTGTTGTATGAATCTTGAAGTTGCATTAACGAATGCTGATGATTGTGATATTGATGAGAAGTATTTGTTTATGGAATTGCAAATTTTGCAGAAAATGTTAACGCCAGAAGCATATAAAGGAGAAAAGCCATGGACATCAATTGAGATTTTGGAGTTTGCAAATAAGATGGATCATCACGTTAGCATCTGTTGAAAGAAGTTTTTCAAAGTTAAAGTTATCGAAGTCATATTTGTAGTCTACCATGAGTCAAGAAAGGTTAAACGAGTTAGCAATTTTGAGTATTGAAAGTAGATTTTTGGAGAACGTTGAATATGAAAAAGTAATTGACATTTTTACCTGAAGAGGTGCACCAAAGACATAGTTTTAGTGATATATTTATATATTGTAATTTAACCATAAAAGTGCTGAAACTCAAAATACTTTGATAATTCTTTTTGAAATCTATATACATATTAAAGAAGAAACCACTATGTATGATGTGGCATCTTCTAAAAGCTAGGAGCTTATTTATCTTTTTTCTCCTTTTTTAGGTTTTTTAAAATACTAATTAAGTTAAAGACTATTATGCCCCTACAAGCAAATTGTATATTTCATAATAGATGAGATCATTTGGTAATTTTGCATCCAACTAAGTTTAACCTCCCAAATTATTCAACTTTTTAATAAGCATTCAAGATAAGTTTAACCCCCTAAACTATTCAACTTCTTCTTAATAGACATTTATTTTATTTATTATTGTAATTGATTTACCTTCTCCAACTTTTTATCTCTTCATCTCTTTATTTCTCAATCTCTTCCTCTTGATATAGTTTGACATAAATTGCTATCAAGAAACAATTGATTATGTTCTTAAAAATATTCTCACAAAGGAAAAACCAAGATTGATGACATGATTTCTCATAAAGGTTAGAAATTATCTTTTTTCTCATTTATCCTTATTTTAATCTTTTTTTTTTCTAATTTTCATTCTAATTTCTATAAAGATTTTTCATTTAACACAATCATTTCATTTTTCTTAGCTCTTCTTCATGAATTGTTCATCATTCAATCTTTTTTTCTCCATTTCTATCACTTAATTGTTTTCTATTTCATAAATTTTATTCTTTTTCAACAAATCTATTTTTAAGTTTATTCGACAAGACTATTTCAGATATGCATTTCTTCTTATTTTTGTTGGGATTTTGGGATTTTGTTTTGTTTACTTTTCTCTTCTATAATTTTCTTAAGTTTCCTCAAGGAAACCGATAGTTTGTTCTTGACAACGCTTTTAGAGTTTCGATGACAACATGGTCGATGATGGAATGTTATGACAA